CTAGAGCTCTCCCAAGGGTGACCTCGAATCATTGGCCCATAGTGTTATGTAAGGAGGAAAGGTGTGGAGGTCTTGCCCCCCTTTAGATTTGAAAATATGTGGTTACTTCATCCAGGGTTTACTAACAAAGTGAGGGAGTGGTGATATGAGGTGGTGCGCTTGTCTTCCTCTTGTAAATCTTCTATTGATGATTTAATGAAAGTGTTATTGATCAAAAAGAAAAAGGAAGAAGAGAGAAGAAACCCAGAAGGAGAAGAAAAACAGAGGTGGGAGGTGGAATGAAGATGGCAACAGTCAGGATGAGGTTTTTGAGGGGGAAGATTAGGGCCTTGGTTCCGACAGGATTGCTGATGATTGTGTTGAAGTCTTCTTTTTATTTTAAGTCTTGTAGTTGGTGGAGTTTCTGAGTCAGTAGTCATGTTTTCTCTCAGGTGATATCTTATCACCTTCCTTATGTAATCTTCTTTTTACTTTACTCTTCAAAAAAAAAGAGGTATTTTAAACTTAGGGCACCACACAACCGTACCTCGAACAGCATAACAGTAAGATACTGAGACATTTCTCATACTCAACCTGTACATCCTTGGACATAAGAGACTAGTTTTCCAATCCCCAACCAACCATCCTCCCAAAATCTAATATGTGCTCATTACCAACATTGTAAGAAACCAAGCTACAAATACTTGTAGATATAGGTTGAATGAATATGCAAACCCCTGCATTGCTTCAGGGGTTGAGGTTAGTCAAGCAGCTGAACATTCAGCAGGTGCAGGTAGAAGGGGACTCCATGTTGGTAGAAGTTGGATAATAACAACAGCCAAGGGGATTTGGTTTGCAGGCAAGCCATGAGAGAGATTAGACAGCTAGCAAGAGGGAGAGGCTACATTCCGATGGGTTAATCGTTCAGCAAATGGCTTGGCCAATACCCTAGTAAAACAAGGGGCATCTAGGGAACAACTGTTTTGGGCATCATTGTATGTATGATGTAATTTGAATGGATAAGCTCTAGTGGGAGCCAAGAAGTGTAAAGCATGATATGTGTGTGTCTGTACTGCTACTGATTTAATAGAATTTCGTAGTAACTAATTAAAAACATCAAGGTACAAATACCCAAAAGAAAAGACGCAATGTGATACACGCAGCAAACTGTACAAAAGTAACAAATCCACTAGAACATAAAAAATGATGTTACCGGCATAAGCACAGGAGAGGTAAGTTACGATCCCTATATGATCTACATTAATATACATCTTAGAAAAGGCCATCTAACATCCCATTCATTTAATGATTATACAACGGTGTAAAAATGAATAGCATCTCAAACTATGATAAGAGATAGGAATAAGGCATGTAGCTGAAATATCTAGCCAAACAATACCAAATCGATACCTCAGAAAGAAATGCATCCTTTTCAGCATCCGGGAATTCTAGCCTACAAGTACAATGGAAAAGAATAAATAACATATCAGAAAGCATAAGATTCAACATTTCTTATAAAAAATACAAGATATAATACAATCATAAGATAACAAGTTACTCAAAACCCTAATTAGATAAGCATACATCTCTTTTAAAGAAATAACAGTAACCAATAAACCACTTATAGTTAAGATGGAGGGGAAGGACTTATCACAAAAAATTCTCAATTCCTTATAAACCTGAAACATCCTAGTGATAGGTCAGCATAGGCAACTCACTGAGTTGTTCTCAAAGTTGTAGACTCAAGATCAATTACCTTGACATGACATGGGTGAGGCTACACAAGGATGTGGTTAACATATTCCGTATGTTAGGTAGCCGAAAGTGGTTCAATAGCTTTGAGAATGTCCAACAAGGATTCACACCCTCGAACAAGAGGATAATGCCACTGCCAAGAAGTTGAGTTGAATCAAGACACTTGCCAGAAATCCTAGTTGGACTAGGACTCTAGCAGATGAATCCAAGTAAGACTAAGACTTATGTATAAGTCCCATGGTAACATTAGGATGAATTAGGAACACTACTAGTTGAACTAGGATTCCTAGTAAAGAATCCTAATTGCACGAGGACTTAGTATTCTAGATCTACATGACTCTGGAATGAATATGGAAAGTCTCTTTATGGCATTGGAAGTCACAAGAAAGCTTCCTAGAGCTTGTCATAAGTGTCATAATTAGGGGGGTACACAGTATTCGAAAATCCGATTTCAAATTCGATATTCGACATAATCGAATTGAATTCGGATAATTCAAATATCTAATCGGTCGAATTCGGATATCCTATTCATACTGAATAGTAAATCGAGTTCGAATTCAGATATGACCTGATTCGATTCGATAAATATCCGAATTCGATCGATTATTTAATTCTTATATATATATATATAAATAATATTTTATATAATTTAAATATAATAATCAAGTTATATAAATAACTTATATATTTATATACTTTATATCAATAAAACATTTAATCTATATATTCATTAATTATCTAAAATAATTAATTAATTGAATTTGAATCGAATCAAATATTCGAATATTTAATCGGATTCTAATTCGGCTTTCAATGTCCGTCGGATATCAAATAGAATTCGGATATTGGATTTTCTAATTGGATTCGGATTCGGATATTACCTGATCCGATTCAAATTCGATCCGTTTACACTCCTAGTCATAATCAGACTAAGACTCTCAATTTTCCCTAGGTAGACTTTTTCAGTATTTTGCATTAAAAGAGTTTTGAAGCAAATAAATATTATATATAAACAACTATATTTGAAAAATGTCTTCAAATTTGATTTGTTGCAGGTGCCCTATTGGTATTAGAACTTTTGGTTAAATCCCATGTGATGGTGACTGGCCCAAAAATTGATCCTTTAGAGTAATTGCAAATATATCATTGGACCTCTTTACAATATTAGAAAGTCTTTATAATCTTAACCATAGGTTACTAAGAATGAATTGAAGATTCCAATCCAATAGCAAACAGATAAGGTAGCCTCTTGGGAAACCCCAACTCTTAAGGATGAAAACCCTTATTGCATCTCACACCCCCCCCCCTTAGCCATCTACTACTCTATATATATATGATATTTAGAGAGCTCAAAAAGTGTAATTCGATCATCCCTAAGAGAGCAATTTGATATACACATACTAATGCCCAATAGATCCAGTTTGAATGCTTAAACAGTAGTGGATAGGGGAGCAATGTGATTTCTATTGGAGGAATCAATGTCTGTTGGATCATACATCCTTGAAGATATTTCAAACATAGCATTCTGCATAGAACATGTGGATCAACCTCTAACAAGTACTATTCAAAGAAAATTTAGAATAATCAGATCATGGTTTCAAATGTCGCCCGACATATGTCGATGTCGAGGCTCACCGACATGAAAATGGATGGTAATATAAAAATTACATTATGTTGGTTGACATTTCCTATATTCGGAAATGTCAACCAAATCGGTCCAAATAACCAAAAAAATACAGTTTTTCCTATTATGTCAACAAGATGTCGACTAATGTACATTAAAAATATAATATATCAGTATATTAATATAGATTATTCCATTAATATTTCAAATAAAATATTTATAAAAAGAATTAACAAAATATAAAAACAAAAGAATAAATTAATTACTTTATAATATAAAACATAAAATATTTTTCAAGTAATAAAATATTAACTAGTTAGTATTTTTTAAAATAT